AGGAGCGCCTCGATCTGGTCGTTCTGGCCAAGCTCCAGCGCGTGGGCGAGCTTCTGCCGCAGGAGCATGTCGTAGTAGAACACGACGCGGCCGCCACCCTGCTCCTCTGACATTTTGACCAGCTGGAGCTCGTAGGCCCAGAACTGCACCGGGGTGATCACCTTGGACAGCACCATCTTGAGGCCCCAGTCGTGCAGGTGGCCCATGAAGTTGGCGAAGCCCAGGAAGCCAGTGCGCTCCTCTGCAGTGCGGGCGCGCTTTGCCTCCCGGGCATCCCGCGCTTTGTCGTCCAGTGAGCCAGACCCGAGGAGCAAGTCCAGCTTGGGTGTCTTGGAGAAGCCGGGCCGGAAGTTGACGATCAGATCCTCGCCCTCGGAGGACCCGACCCACTTGCGGCTCTTGTCTCTTGCGACCTTGGCGGAGGCAAGGTTCTCCATTCGCAACAGAGACTCCTCGGTAGGGAGCAACTCCGGCGACAGTTTCTGGATGCACTGCAACCCAACCTCCGTCACCCTGGCCTCCAGGTTGAAGCTCAAGGTGCCGCGCTTGGCCTCCTTCTCGGCCTTTGCGTTCTGGACCTCCGCCCACTTGGCGATGGCCTGCGCCGTCTGGTCTGCCTGGCTACTCGGGCCCGGCGCGCTCGCGGCCGATGACTGCTGGGCCTTTGATTGGACCCTTAACGCCAAGTTGACGTGAGCCGGCTTGACCACGAAGGCCTTCCACTGAACGCCCTCGCTCTCGTCGGGGAAGGGTTTCGTGTTAACCGCCATCCCCGAGATGATGACTTGGCGCATATGGGCGTCGCAGATGTCTGCCGGCTCCACCGACCCCGCCACGTCGGCGAGCACGCGGGCCGTGCTGGCGTAGAAGAACAAATCGTGTTTGTTCTTCGGCTCCTCGTCCACAGACATCACGTAGTCGACCCAGGCCGCACGCTTCTCGAGCGAGTCGACCCCGAACGCAGACTCGGGAAGCCCGGCGAGCGCGGCGCGGACCTCGGAGCCGGTGAACGCCATCCGTCGTGAGAGCGGGTGTGGCCGCGAGAGTACTGTGAACGCCTGGGCTGCAGTCGCAGAAGAATCGACCGCGTGGCAGAGTCCTCGAGCCCAAAAGGCAACGGGACCACGAACGGCGATGGCACGGGAGGGGGGGCCAAGAATCCGCACCTCCCCGAAGGGCGGCCCAGCGCGTGCCCATTGCCCTGCTTCAATAATGGGCATCCCACTTTTGGGATGCCCCTTCTCGCACGTCGCACTCTGCACAGCACGCGCGCGCGCGATAATGCACACGGGGCATTCATGTTTTGAATGCCCTGTTACGATCCCTGGTTGGTTGGCCTGAACAGGCTAGGCGGAGTATTCCGGAGTACTCCGCCCATGGTTGCTGGGCGCCTTCGGTTGGACCTCCGCCACACGGAGGACGTCTGGGGCGGATTGCACCCGCCACTGCCACGCGAATGGGGGGGGGGGTCCGATTTGGGGATCCCCCCTTTCTGCGGTTGCCTTGCCTGCCGCCTGTGCAAGGCGCGCGGGTAACCCCCGGCGCGGCGTGGATAACCCCCTGTGTACGGTTGCCCCGTAGCACGGGCTTCGCCCGTTGACTGCATGCGTACAGGCGCCCCACGCACGAGCAGCCAACACCCCCTGCCACTCGGCCGGGGCCAGGACACGTGAAGACACGGATGAACGGAGGGAGGGGGGGAGGAGGAGGAGGAAAAACAAAGAAACAGGGAAGCGCAGTTATCGTCGCAGATGAGCGTGCCCGTCCAGCGGGCCACCCAATCGTCCAGGGCATCGCACGAAGCCGCCCCCGTCACGCATAGGCCACGGTCCGCGCAGGCCCCGCCAGCCAACACGCCCCTCACACCCATCACTTTTCGATTTTCCAATTTGAGCGGGGGGAGCGAGGAGAGAGAATGAATGATGATGTGAATTACGGGGACCCGCACGAAACGAGGACCTCGAGGGCCTCTGTGCGGTCAAGGCGGCGCGCCGCCAAGCCCAAGCTGCCCTACGGGGCAGGGGGGCGAATGCTGGCCGATCGGCCCAGCAACCAGGAGTACTCCAGAGTACTCCGCCTCTGGTTGTGGGGCTGCCCTCGGACGAGCCCTGCGTGGGTTTTCCCTCGGGCAGGGACCCTGGGAAGGGGTGTCCTCGGACAGAGCCCTGCGTGGGTTTGCCCTCGGGCAGGGACCCTGGGAAGGGGTGTCCTCGGACAGAGCCCTGCGTGGGTTTGCCCTCGGGCAGGGACCCTGGGAAGGGGTGTCCTCGGACAGAGCCCTGCGTGGGTTTGCCCTCGGGCAGGGAGGGACCCTGGGAGGGGGTGTCCTCGGACAGAGCCCTGAGTGGGTTTGCCCTCGGGCAGGGACCCTGGGAAGGGGTGTCCTCGGACAGAGCCCTGCGTGGGTTTGCCCTCGGGCAGGGACCCTGGGAAGGGGTGTCCTCGGAGAGAGCCCTGCGTTGGTTTGCCCTCGGGCAGGGACCCTGGGAAGGGGTGTCCTCGGACAGAGCCCTGTGTGGGTTTGCCCTCGGGCAGGGACCCTGGGAAGGGAAGGGGGCCACGGACAGAACCTGGTCCCCGTCTGCGCGTGGAAACGGAATGCGCCCTCTCTCCGCCTTGTCAGGGTTGCCTTGTGCGCCCTTTCGTCCACACTGCACCGGCGGTTGGCCGAGTGGACCAGCTGGTTGCCAGGGTTGCCTCGTGCAGGGGCCCTGGATTAATCCAGGCGGGGGCAAGCTGGCGACGCCAGCCAATAGCCCTCGGCCCGCAGACGAAGCATCGTTCGCCAAGCGCCCTCCTGGGGCACCGTCGTCGGTCCGCAGACGCCAACTCCGAGCACCACGAGGTGTGCCTGGGCCCTCAGGGGATCCTTCGGGCCCACACGGGAGCCTGCGACACGGCGCCCCCCTTGCCAGGCCCTCGGGCCGCCAGGGAAGGCACAACACAACTACCCCCTCGGGAGCGAGTGCCGACACTTGATACCCCGCCTCGGATTCGGGCGGAAAACAATGCAGCCAGTAGCGACGAATCCCCGAATCCAGCCATGGCGACAAGGATGCAGCCTGCCCAGAATCTTCTTCCCCAGGAACCAAGCTCAGGGACGACCAAGACGCCCCAAGAGGCGCTTAAGATCGCCCAAGAGGGCCCCAATACGGCCCCAAGAGGGGCCCAAGAGGGGGAACACGAACCGACAATTCGAACCTTCCACCCCATCAGGCCCCCAGGAGGCCCCAAGAGGCCCCCAACAGAGCCCCCAAGAGGCCCCCTAGAGGCCCCCTAGAGGCCCCACGAGGCTCCAAAGAGGCCCCAAAAGAAGCCCCAAGGGAATCCCACACAGTCCCCAAGAGGCTTTCAAAACTGCCTTCAATAGGCCCCGGGGAGGCCTCCCGCGAATTCCAAACGAACTTCCAGAAGGCCTCTCACCCACAACCCAGGCACGGTGGCGGGATGGGCCGAAGGCCACTAGATGGTTTAGACGCCCAAGACGGCCTCCAGACGGCCCAAGAGGCCCCCAAGATACCCAAGAGGCTTCCAAATGGTCTCCCAAAAGAGCTCGAAGAGGCCCCCCCCAAATATGTTCCATAGGTTTTTGAACATTTTTTTGCGTTTCCGCCTGTTCCGCTTCCCGCCGCTGCAAAACGCTCCGAGAGGCTCAGAGGATCGCTCCAAGACGGCCCAGTAGGTTTCAAAAGCGCCCCAAGACAGCACAATAGGCTCCAAACGCGTCGAAGAGACGTCCACGACGGCCCGAGAGGGCCCAAACCACGGCCCAGGATCGGGAACGTGAACCGAGAACCCGAGATCCTCGCCCCAGGAAGCCCCGAGGAGGCTTCACGAGGTCACCAGAAAGCCCCCCAAAGGCCCAAAAGAGCTCCGCGGGCACTTGAGAAAAATTGTAATTCCAATCTTTCTTCTTTGAAAGTTCGCCTGGCAGCTGCGCTACGCTTGCAAAACAATGACATCTCATATTTCCTCCTCTTCCTCCGCCTGTTCCTCCTCCTGTTCCTCCTCTTCTGCGGCCTCCTCCACCCTCTCCACCTCCTCCTCATCCTCCTTCTCCTTCTCCTCTATGGAACCCCTTCACCTTCCCTTCTTCTCCCTCCTCCTCACGCTACGTCCATCCGCGGCGAATAAAAAGGGCCCCCGAAGTGCCTTTGGGCCTGTCTTAAGCCATTTTGGGTGGACCGTAGGAAATCTTGGAAGCTACTTGGGCCGTCTTCGTGGTTCTAGGAGGCCCCGGAGAAGGAAGTGTCATATATTAGAGAGCCCCAAGCGTTCGACCATCTAGCCTAGCTAGAACTTGAGCGCGCGCGAGAAGCGCGCCCGATGGTTCTAGCGGGTGTATATGTATGTATGTTTGTCTAATTATAAAAATGTATACACACACACTCAACTTACATATACCTGTATTTTTTCAACCATCCTGTGGTGTTGGGTCCTCGTTTTGAAGAGACGGTGCCCCGCGTTCCTCCTCTCCTCTCCTCCTCCTTCCTCCCTGCGTTTCACCCACTCAGTGCAGCGTTTTGTGGCCCCATAGGGAGCTCCAACTACGGTCCCAGTGGCGGAGCTCGCATGGCATCCCCGCCCCATTTTGGTTCACCGCTCACACGATTCGTGGCCCCATAGGGAGCTCCACCTAAGGTCCCAGTGGCGGAGCTCGCCTGGCATCCCCGCCCCATTTTGGTACACCCCTCACACGTTTCGTGGTCCCATAGGGAGCTCCACCTAAGGTCCCAGTGGCGGAGCTCGCCTGGCATCCCCGCCCCATTTTGGCACGCCCCTCGCACGTTTCGTGGCCCCATAGGGAGCTCCAACTAAGGTCCCAGTGGCGGAACTCGCATGGCCTGCGGGAGCCTGCCGCCGCGGGCGGCGGTGTACGCTCTGAAGTGCCTGCCGACGCCGCGCCTCGCGCTTCCTCGGAGGCGCTGCGCGAGCGGCGGCGCAGGCGCCGTCAGAGGCGTGCGGGGCGGCGCACACTGGAGCGAGGGGAAGCTGCGGCGATGGCGGATGCAGTGGTGGCGGATGGCCCGCCGCCCGCTGCGGTCCCCGCTGCCGCTGGCGGCCCCAACACGGACTGCGACGGCGGCGACGACGTCGTGTTTGACGACGCCTGGGCGGACGAGGCCGTGCCGAGGAGGCGCAGGCCGCGTCGTCGGCGGGCGCTACCGGAGGCGGCTGCTCCGGGTGCGGCGGCGGCAGGCGCGGGCCTCGGCCCGCCTGCCGAGGCGGCGGCGGCTTCCCTGGGGCTCCCTCTGGTCGCGCTGGGGGCGGCGGGGGCGGCGGCGGGCTCCCTGGAGGCGGTGCGGGCCGCGCTGCCCGTCGGCGAGCTGGCGGCCCTGGACTCCTCCTTCGAGGCGTGCCAGGGCGTGCGGGCGGCCGCCGACGACGCCCTGCTCCGCGCGCAGCCTCCGCCCTCGGAGGCGATGCGCGAGGAGGTCCAGCGCATGCTGGACTTGGTGCTCCCCCACTAGGTCCTCGCGCTTGCGGGGGTGCCGCCCCTTCGGCGGGTCTAGGCCCCGCTCCGCCCTACCCTTCGGCGGTGGGGCTCGGCCTGGCGGCCGCCGCGCTCGCGCTCGGCGGCCTCGCGGGCCTCGCGGGCGGCGGCGGGCCCCGCCCTAGGCGCGGGCGGCCGCGGCGCCCTCCCTCGGCATCCTCGGCCTCGCGTTCGTGGTCGTGGACGGCCAGGGCCTCCTGCTGGCTGGCGCGTCGGCGGGAGTTTGCGGACCCGAGGGCCGCCCTCGGTCAGCCTACACTTAAATTATCCCGGCAAAGCAACCTAACAGCGATGTGTAGAAGCATAGCTGGAAACATTGCCTGTGGTATTCATGTAAGAGTGCTGTTGTAGAATTCTGGTGTTTTCGCAGTCGCATTCGGATTCGCAGTGGCAGTCGCAGTGGCAACATCAGCGGCAGTCGCAGTGGCACTGCCAGCCAAGAAGGCTACGGGGACGATGCTGATGATGAAGATGATGAGTCTTGGAAGTTTGGGAAGTGGAAGAGCACGAAGTGGCGTGCAGATGGCTCCGGGCATTCAAAATGTGGCCCGGGAGTGGAGTTCTGGGAAATTGAAGAGCACGAAGTGGCTTACAGTTGGCTCCGGGGATTCAAAATGTGGCCCAGGAATGTTGTTCTGGGAAGTCCAAGAGCACGAAGTGGCCTACAGTTGGCTCCGGGCATCCAAAATGTGGGCCGGTAATGGACTTCTGGGAACTCGAAGACCACGAAGTGGCCTACAGTTGGCTCCGGGCATCCAAAATGTGGCCCGGGAATGGAGTTCTGGGAACTCGAAGACCACGAAGTAGTCTACAGTTGGCTCCGGGCATTCAGAATGTGGCCCGGGAATGGAGTTTTGGAAACTCGAAGAGCACGAAGTGGCCTCCAGTTGGCTCCGGGCATTCAAAATGTGGCCCGGGAATGGAGTTCTGGGAAGTCGAAGAGCACGAAGTGGCCTACAGTTGGCTCCGGGCATTCAAAATGTGGCCCGGGAATGGAGTTCTGGGAGGTCGAAGAGCACGAAGTGTGTGTGATTGTTTGTTTAAAATGAGCGTGGCCCTCGCCTGTCCGGCTCCCGCCCAGACCCCCTCTGGGGAGTCATCAGATGCTTTCTTTTGACCCCATTAGAAACCTACACGTCTTCGCTGTTAGGTAATAATTATCCCGGCAAAGCAACCTAACAGCGATGTGTAGAAGCATAGCTGGAAACATTGCCTTGGGTATTCATGTAAGAGTGCTGTTGTAGAATTCTGGTGTTTTCGCAGTCGCATTCGGATTCGCAGTGGCAGTCGCAGTGGCAACATCAGTCGCAGTCGCAGTCGCAGTGGCACTGCCAGTAGTTGCAGTAGCAAGTGCTACACTAGCAGCAGCAACAGCAGCAGCAGTAATAGTAACAGTATTAATAGCAGTAGAAGTAGTAGTGATGGTAGTAGCGGTAACACTGAAGTAGTAGTTGTAGTGGGTGGAGTGAACGAGTAGGAGTAATGGGAGCAATGGTAGTAGCAATAGAAACACTAGTAGCAAGAGTAGTACAAACGAGACACTGCTATCAATCCGCCCCGCCCGCCCCCTATCCTCCCCCGCGGCCTGAATGGGCCACCCAGGCTTGCGGAGGACGTCATTAAGGGTCGGGTACCCGGTACAGAAATGAAGGGAGAAAGGGGAGGGAGGAAAGAGTAAGGAGCCTCCCTCGTCCTGCTCCTCATGCTCCCCCTGCTCCTCCTACTATTGCTATTGCAAATATTAAATTCTGGCGGAAACGTCCAGTGCACGATGGCGCCCGGGTCCGCCGTCTTGCCCTGCACGATGACGACACAGAACAAACCGGGAATCGGGTGGCGAGAGATCTGACGGAGACATCCAGTAAGCAAAATGTGGCCCGGGAGTGGAGTTCTGGGAGTTCGAAGAAGACGAAGTGGCTTACAGTTGGCTCCGGACATCCAAAATGTGGCCCGGGAGTGGAGTTCTGGGAACTCGAAGACCACGAAATTGTTTACAGTTGGCTCCGGGCACCCGAAATGTGGCCCGGGAATGGAGTTTTGGAAACTCGAAGAACACGAAGTGGCCTACAGTTGGCTCCGGGCATCCAAAATGTGGCCCGGGAATGGAGTTCCGGGAACTCGAAGACCACGAAGTGGCCTACAGTTGGCTCCGGGCATCCAAAATGTAAGCCGGGAATGGAGTTCTGGGAACTCGAAGACCACGAAGTGGCTTACAGTTGGTTCCGGGCATCCAGAATGTACGCCGCGAATGGAGTTCTGGGAGCACCAAGAGCGATTTTGCGAGGATGTCCAAAGCGATTTCGGCTTCGACGGCAGCCTGTCCGGGTCCCGCCCGGACCCCCCTGAGGAGTCATGATGCTCTCTTTTGACACCACTAGAAACCTATCAGTCTTCGCTGTTAGGTAAAAATTATCCCGGCAAAGCAACCTAACAGCGATATATAGAAGCATATCTGAAAGCATTCCCTTTAAGATTCAGATGAAAATCCAGTTTAGAATTCTGCTGTTCTCGCAGTCGTAGTCGCATTCGTGATGACAGTCGCAGCGGCAACGGCAGTCGCAGTCACAGCCTCAGCCTCAGCCTGCCTCAGCCTCAGCCTCAGCCTGCCTCAGCCTCAGCCTCAGCCTGCTTCAGCCTCAGCCTCAGTCTGCCTTCAGCCTCGGCCTCAGCCTCAGCCTGCCTCAGCCTCAGCCTGCATCAGCCTCAGCCTCAGCCTCAGCCTGCCTCAGCATCAGCCTGCTTCAGCCTCAGCCTCAGCCTGCCTCAGCCTCAGCCTCAGTCTGCTTCAGCCTCAGCCTCAGTCTGCCTTCAGCCTCGGCCTCAGCCTCAGCCTGCCTCAGCCTCAGCCTGCCTCGGCCGCAGCATCAGCCTGCCTCAGCATTCAAAATGTGGCCCAGGAATGGAGTTCTGGGAACTAGAAGAACACGAAGTGGCCTACAGTTGGCTCCGGGCATTCAAAATCATGCCCAGGAATGGAGTTCTGGGAACTTGAAGAGCACGAAGTGGCCTACAGTTGGCTCCGGGCATCCAAAATGTGGCCCGGGAATGGAGTTCTGGGAAATCGAAGAGCACGAAGTGGCCTACAGTTGGCTCCGGGCATCCAGAATGTGGCCCGGGAATGGAGTTCTGGGAAGTCGAAGAGCACGAAGTGGCCTACAGTTGGCTCCGGGCATTCAAAATGTGGCCCGGGAATGGAGTTCTGGGAGCACCAAGAGCGATTTTGCGAGGATGTCCAAAGCGATTTCGGCTTCGACGGCAGCCTGTCCGGGCCCCGCCCGGACCCCCCTGAGGAGTCATGATGCTCTGTTTTGAAACCACTAGAAACCTATCAGCAAGAGCTGTGAGGTAATTATTCAGTCTTCGCTGTTAGGTAAAAATTATCCCGGCAAAGCAACCTAACAGCGATGTGTAGGAGCATATCTGGAAGCATTCCCCTTAAGATTCACATGATAATCCAGTTGTAGAATTCTGCTGTTCTCGCAGTCGCAGTCGCATTCGCGATGAAAGTCGCAGTGGCAACGGCAGTCGCAGTCACAGCCTCAGCCTCAGCCTGCCTCAGCCTCAGCCTCAGCCTCAGCCTCAGCCTGCCTCAGCCTCAGCCTCAGCCTGCTTCAGCCTCAGCCTCAGTCTGCCTTCAGCCTCGGCCTCAGCCTCAGCCTGCCTCAGCCTCAGCCTGCATCAGCCTCAGCCTCAGCCTCAGCCTGCCTCAGCATCAGCCTGCCTCAGCCTCAGCCTCAGCCTGCCTCAGCCTCAGCCTCAGCCTGCTTCAGCCTCGGCCTCAGTCTGCCTTCAGCCTCGGCCTCAGCCTCAGCCTGCCTCAGCCTCAGCCTGCATCAGCCTCAGCCTCAGCCTCAGCCTCAGCCTGCCTCAGCCTCAGCCTCAGCCTGCCTCAGCCTCAGCCTCAGCCTGCCTCAGCCTCAGCCTCAGCCTGCTTCAGCCTCAGCCTCAGTCTGCCTTCAGCCTCGGCCTCAGCCTCAGCCTGCCTCAGCCTCAGCCTGCATCAGCCTCAGCCTCAGCCTCAGCCTGCCTCAGCCTCAGCCTGCCTCAGCCTCAGCCTCAGCCAGCCTGCCTCTGCCTCAGCCTCAGCCTGCTTCAGCCTCAGCCTCAGTCTGCCTTCAGCCTCGGCCTCAGCCTGCCTCAGCCTCAGCCTGCATCAGCCTCAGCCTCAGCCTCAGCCTGCCTCAGCATCAGCCTGCCTCAGCCTCAGCCTCAGCCTCAGCCTGCCTCAGCCTCAGCCTCAGCCTGCTTCAGCCTCAGCCTCAGTCTGCCTTCAGCCTCGGCCTCAGCCTCAGCCTCAGCCTCAGCCCATCAGCCTCAGCCTCAGCCTGCCTCAGCATCAGCCTGCTTCAGCCTCAGCCTCAGCCTCAGCCTGCTTCAGCCTGAGCCTCAGTGCCTCAGCCTCGCCTCAGCCTCAGGCCTCAGCCTCAGCCTCAGCCTCAGCCTCAGCCTCAGCCTCAGCCTCAGCCTCAGCCTGCCTCAGCATTCAAAATGTGGCCCGGGAATGGAGTTCTGGGAACTCGAAGAACACGAAGTGGCCTGCAGTTGGCTCCGGGCATTCAAAATCATGCCCAGGAATGGAGTTCTGGGAACTCGAAGACCACGAAGTGGCGTACAGTTGGCTCCGAGCATTCAAAATCATGCCCAGGAATGGAGTTCCGGGAACTCGAAGACCACGAAGTGGCCTACAGTTGGCTCCGAGCATCCAAAATGTGGCCCGGGAATGGAGTTCTGGGAACTCGAAGACCACGAAGTAGTCTACAGTTGGCTCCGGGCATTCAGAATGTGGCCCGGGAATGGAGTTTTGGAAACTCGAAGAGCACGAAGTGGCCTCCAGTTGGCTCTGGGCATTCAAAATGTGGCCCGGGAATGGAGTTCTGGGAACTCGAAGAGCACGAAGTGGCGTACAGTTGGCTCCAGGCATCCAAAATGTACGCCGGGAATGGAGTTCTGGGAGTGCCAAGAGCGATTTTGCGAGGATGTCCCAAGCGATTTGGGCTTCGACGGCAGCCGCCCCGGGTCCCGCCCCGACCCCCCTGAGGAGTCATGATGCTCTCTTTTGAGCCTACTAGAAACCTATCAGTCTTCGCTGTTAGGTAAAAAAACGGTCCCAGTGGCGGAGCTCGCATGGCGGCCCCCGGCCATTTCGGTACACCCCTCACACGTTTCGTGGCCCCATAGGGAGCTCCACCTAAGGTCCCAGTGGCAGG